GAGAGAGAGAGAGAGAGAGAGAGAGAGAGAGAGAGAGAGAGAGAGAGAGAGAGAGAGAGAGAGAGAGAGAGAGAGAGAGAGAGAGAGGCCACAGCCCAGGAACCAAATGGTTACAAATAAACGATCCTGTAATGATGTATCTAAGGGACGCTGGACCCGGTTTCCAGCAGGTGCCGTTCCCCAGCAATAGATGGAGCAACCCGATGGTCAAGCCTTCAATTCCGGATCTCACCACCGCGGGGACAGTGGGCTTACAAGAGGGCCATTAACGCCCCTCCCCCCCAAAAAAAAAAATAAATAAATAAAAAGAAAGCAGAAACGGATTGGGAAACAGTCAGCGAGCGTCCATCTTTTTTATGATTTATTTAAAAAATATATATTGTCAACTCCGACGAAACAGTTCGTCACAGCCCCTCGTTTGTTGTCCTCTTCTCCCTCTCTGCCTACGGTTTACCGGGCAGTTCTATTTGACGATATATATTATATGTTTTAAAATTTTTATGTCTATTTTTAATTTGCAATCTTTAGCTGACTGTTTTCTGCAGTTAAACCACCAGTACGTTTCCCAGCCATTTTGCAAAAACACGCCGTCCATGCAGGCGCGGCGGGCGGAATGTCCCAAGGTGCTGTTTCGCCTGAAATCCATCCAGGCAAAACAGGTAGCATGCGAGGCCCAAATTGCCTGGATGGATTTTGGGTGAAACGGCACCCCAGTAAACAATGTGCCTGCATGCATGGTGCATTTTCGCAATATGGCTGGGAAACGTACTGATGGTTTAACAGTTTCTGTAGAGAAGAGCTTAAACCATCAGTACCTGCCACATTTTCTGTATACCCCCCAGGTTTGAATGAATTTGGACCAGCCGGGCAGGCCGATTCGGCTACCGCGTTAACGGCCGCCCCAACGGGTAGGTACTGGTGGTTTAACTTTGTATGCAATGGCAGGAAAAGGAATTTGTCTGTCTGAATTGTAGATAAGGCATACTACTGCCTTGTTCCCTCAAATACAACGTACGGTCATTATAGCTGTATCTAGACTGAAAGGTGCCTCAAATACAGCTATAATGACAGTACGTTCGGGGGAAGAAGGTAGTAGGGGTTCTGTTGCTACCCGTTTCCCCCTACCCTTTCCACAAAAAAACACAACCCCACCTTGGTTTCTTTCCCTCAGGGGCCAATTGTTTCATGAAAATAGTATAGTAGTACACATCATACACCCTTTAGCTTGTCATATAGACAAAGTAAGAGCTCCTTCCATAGGAAAAGGGAGGGAAAGCAGTTGGGAGTAGGTGCTATTGCAGAACCACCACCCCGCAGTGCATATAAGCTGTGTTGGAGCTGGGGAGAGGAGAGGAGAGGACTCTGTTCCACATGAGTTGCAAATTGCAGGGGTGCCCCTCAGCGCAAGGTATGGTGTGCCTCTTTGCGTCCAGGATTGCGAGGCTGCGTTGTAAATAAAAGAAACAAGAATGGGCAGAATTGCAAAAAAGGAGTCTCTGCTGACTCAGTGCTGAGGTCCAGTGGTGCTACTGCTTGCGGTGTCACACAGGCTGCAGCACAAGCCAGAAGCCTCTGTTACGTCTGTGCTCAGTAAATGATGAATCTGGTCATCCTCATTCTCTGGCCAGTTTTGGTATGCACATACACGTGTTCTTGGTCAGGTTCTGCATTGACTTTGATGTGAACCTGCCCAGTCTCTCCTCGCAAACTTCCTGCAGGGCATGCCCCTGATCTGTGCTTCAACCTGTTGTTGATACTCTGATGTTTACGAAGCGCAGGCGTAAAAACAATTAGAATTTAGAAAGCATTGAAAAATTGGAGAGGAGCACTCTTTTGCTAATCGTCTCTGTATCGTTCCAATTTTAACGGATGTCCCAAAGGACTATGACCTTTTTGTTTATCAACGAGTCCATGGGCGCATGTCTTTTCCCTCGAACTGCGAGTACGCTGAGCCTTCTTTTTCACCGTTCCAGAATGTTGCCGCATTCTGAAGAAGAAAAAAGACAGAAAAACAAAAACGACCCGAAGCGACGTGAGGGGTACAGTTACATCTCTTTGTGTGACCCCACCAACCTTTTCTGTCGGGTACCCCTGAGCCCTCCTCATTGGGCCTTGCCATACCACTCTCGAAATGTGGAAAAGACAAAAATGTGGCAGGTGCATCTGGCCATGTTCTAGGGGAAAGTGCATTCTCATTTTGCACATTTCTCTGAGTGGTGGGGGGATGCCCTTATTTGGCGGGGTTGACTGTGGAGTCTGAACAAAATGTATGGGAAATGAAGTGGTGGTTTAAAATTTAAATTCTTTCGGGACAATTGTGGTTTCTAAATCTCCCTTAATGGGCAGTGTTCCACTATACCATACTCTACATGCACTTGGACGCCTTTTGGACTGTGTGGATTCGGATGAGTCCAACATTTTCAATGTGGCAGCCAGAAAGCATACAAGTGCCTGCAGAGTGTTTTGTAGTGGCGCCAGGCCCAATGCTTGGATTGTTTTCTCTTTTTTTTTTTTTTTTTTTTTTTTTTTGGGAAAAGCAATCCCTCACAGGTGATAGTGCTGCTGGTAAGAGCAGACACCACTATCACCCTAGGGGAGGCTCCATCTATTGGTGGGGAGCTTCACCTGCCGGAAACCGGGTCTAGCGCACCCCCTATCCCACTATCCTACCTCAGTGTGACCAGCACTCAGGACCATTACCCTACCAATGGGCAGGTAACTTGGACCGAACAGCAGTGATAGGCACCAGGGCTGATAGGTTGCCCACTTGTCGAATGGGAACTTCGGACGCCAGGCCCAGACAATCTACTACAGGCCCCAAGAGACTCTGGGCCCTAGGTTTCAGACAGGGTAGCACCCATTGAAGCAGCAGTCTTACCGTCCTTCCCCTAGCTTACCCAAGGCCAGGCAGAACTCGGACTGGCCTGAGCGACTTATACCCCTACCCTAACCCCAGGGTCTAAGCCTTATATATAGCCAGTAGACAGTTCTACCCGAATATCAGTAGGAACTCCGGTGGCCCATACCTGTCCCTACCGCAGATACTAGACCCCACCCAGTGACTAGACCCCCCCAGTCTGATAGTGGTATAGTTCGCAATGTATGTGTATACCCGAAGGCTGTGTATGCTTCGTGTATCTATGTATGAAGATGTACAGACAGCACTATGTGTGGAAACTTGTGTATGTAGCCGGTAGGCCATGTATAGTTCGCAAGCTATGTATATGCCCGAAGGCTGTGTTTGCAGCTGGACAAGGACCCCCCCCAAGGTCCGAACCAAGCTCGAACCCGTGACCCTGAAACATGTAATCGTATGACTCTACCATGTGAACGACTAGTGGAAATGGCACGAATGTGTGATATGCCAGACTGGGGAGATCAACAGAACACCCAGGACCAACACCCCCAAGCAACCCATGTGAAACCCACAACCAACATACAACACCATGAACAACCCTTGGGTGGTGCGCAGGCAGTGTCTGTAATAGTACCATGCGTCAGCCCAAGGGAGTGTATGTCCAGCCGTGCGTCAATCTAACACCCTGCTGGTGTCCATGTGCAAGGTTGCAATTGAGTTTTGAACCCGCAACCTCATACCACAATGCACATTTCCAACCGGTGCTCTAACCACTGAGCCACATCAACCCAAATTTGTTGGAGCCCTGGAGCCCAGGGGATTGACTGCACAGATTATGGGATAGATTGTGACTTATTGACTTCTGCCTATGCCAATCCAGGATCCTGCTCAAGCGGGCACAGGGGAGGGTTTGGTAGGTGGCAGTTGGAAAGATGAGGATGAGACACCTTTTTCCAGGGGAGGACCGGAAATAGGAGCCCCATCCGTCCTTCCTACAGCCCAGCTATCAAACTTCACTCCTGTCCAGTTTGAGCGGTCTGTTTCCACTCCCTACTCCTTACCATTCCAACTTCATTCCATCAATGTGTGATTAGGGAGGGGGACAGGGTCTGGGAAATCTGTGGGAGGGGGGAGGGGGATAATGTCAGGAATCGTGGTCCAATCATTAAAACAGAGTCGAAATGGATTGTTTTCTCTGAATTGCCATAATCAGTAAAAACACCCACATCAAGGCTTGTGCAAGGACAGATATTGATGTTTTGTCTAGGGCAAACAAATTATCGAAAATGACGTAACGCGCCTTTGTGCCTGCTGATTGGTAAACCACCGGTACCACTGAGCCTCTATTTGCCGAGGTGGAGAAGACCTGCGCGCCAAGCTTGGCTGAAGTGCCAGCCCAATGTTTCTCTTTTTCTTTTGGGTGGCGCCGCCACCCAGATTTGACACCCAATTGCATTGGTTGGGCTTAAGAGAAGCACTAGTACCTTTGTCGGTTCGAAAATACTCGGCCTCCGAACTTTCAGGAGGCCGAAACGAAACGACGGCCGCCGATCAGATTGATCAACGTCGGGCTCGGCCTCCTGAAAGTTCGGGAGCTGGCAAGTACTTGTCGAAACCGGATGCCAAAGGTACTAGTGGTTCC